CGCGCCCCCCCCCCACCCCCAACCCTGCGGTGGCCATCTGAGCTGCACTGGCCACACCGCTCGGGGTTGGTGTCTCATAGGTTTCGTCTATGCAAACTGTACATTTTGTCCTCCCTCTGTGAGTTTAATGTCGCGCAGACGGCGATATGCGTGGCTTACGGCATTGCTGACTGACCGCTGAAATCCGCCCATCTGCTGACGTTCAATCCCCCCTGCTGCTGATTCACCGTTGGGTCTCCATGAAATTAACGTTTTGTTTTGCATTTTTTGTGCGTCTGATCTGTGCCCGTGGAGGGGCTCATTAGCTGCCTGTTTATGTCTGGTGCTGATTAAGATAACAGCTGCACATTGGGTCTGTCCCCCCTCTGGATACAGACTGGTTCAGGTCCTCCTCCCTGCATGTTAGCGGTCATAAGCGTATCCTGAGCCCCATCTAATATTCCCAATATTGCCTTATACAGAGCTGAGTAGCGACTGGATGGGTCATATGACCTGACTGTGACATAAGCCAGTTGGAAGCCATACGGAGAACAGGCGCCTCGCCTTTATACCAGCACAGCACATGTTGCACTCGCATTCACACAGAATGCGTCCCCAGTGATCAGTTGTGTGCTGAAGAAATATGGGGACCCAGGAATGCTAAAGCAGACGAGCTATTTCCCATCAGATCTGCTTTACCATTGGAACTTCCAGATGCTATGCTGCCTGCACATGCTTCACTCAACATGGCGGAAAAAACAATATTAATTTTTGCACAGAAAAAAGAAGTGTGTTACCCTTGAGGACCTTTGTGGAATAAAACATGGCCATCTTACTGTGTGCCTGTAATGTGTGGAGTGATGCACAGCCGTCTTACTGTGTGCCTGTAGAGTGGAGTGAAGCACGGCCGTCTTTCTGTGTGCCTGTAATGTGTTGAGTGAAGCACGGCCGTCTTACTGTGTGTTTGTAGTGTGTGGAGTGAAGCACGCTAGTTTACCCTAGACTGAAGGGACCTGGGCTGCTCTGGCTTAATGCCCAGATACAGGAATACTACGCTGTGTTAAATTAAATCATATACAGGCAGCTTATGATTGTAATTAAACATGAGTCATAATCTGTCTCTGTTACTTATTGGGGGGGGTATTCTGCAATAGACTGGCGCTTAAAAACATGCCGCAAGCCAGAGTCACTAGGATAAGAGGCCAGTCTGCTGAGTGCAGTGGTCCACAGCTCAACAGTTTACATCTCAGTTAATAATTAATGATAATTAACCGCATTTAGACACCTTACACACTAACCTTAACGCAACCCTCACCTTACCATGAGCCGCAGAGCGACAGGACAGCCACTCAGAGCCGTAACCTTAACGCAACCCTCACCTTAGTATGAGCCGCAGAGCGACAGGACGGCCACTCAGAGCCGCGGCCCCTGAAATGAAAGCTACAGAATATATTCCCTGCTGGAGATTTTGGACTGCAGTCTCCCTGCTTAATGGACTTCCAGCCTTCAGCTCGCATGACAACCTGCAGGTGACTTCAGGCTAACACGGCAGCGCGCGTGGTGGTGGGGGGGAGGGGTGTTTCCCTTCAGGTTGGAGGTGTGTGCGTGAGAGCGGCTGACGGGGGTGTTTCCCCTCAGGTCGGAGGTGTGTGCGGGAGAGCGGCTGACGTCCGAGCGCACGGTGCTGTAGTTGCGGCGGCCGGGTACGTGAGTGCCAGCTGACGGGCGCCGACTTACGCAGGGGCAGTAAGACGCGCCCCTCCTCTGGCAGGAAAGACGCAGGCTTTCCTTACTCCAAATTACATTTCCCGTCTTTATCCGTTTGTGAAACCTGAGTCAGCAGCACAATCATCTCCAATAACAAACGTTATCAGTTAAATGCCTTTCGAGCGCGACACTGATATCAGAGTGACCATTCAGTATCGTTAAACTTCTTTATGTGCTACTTATGTGTCATTAAACTTATCTTTATGTGTCAATGTGATTCCTTTTTCGATTTTTACAGTATTATTATATATAATTATTATACCATTGTGTACTGTACATCTTATTAAATTAAACTGCACACATTAATAACAATAAATAATAATAACAAAAATAACAATAGGGAAAATGTAAGGTGTGATCTGATTAAAATGATCAATTATACCAAATCTACTCAAATGTCCACTTATTCACATAGTTTTTAATCCCGCTTTAAGGACACACTTCGACAATGAAGTCACCCGTCAAAGGTTGAGGACTTTTAGGAAGTAGAAGTTTCCACAATACGTTTGATGAATCTGCAGCATTTTGCCGGGGGGGGCGACACAGCCACAGGAACTCTGCCATGAAGGTCACACATTTTCTGTGTCAGTCTCCTATTTCCATTATTATCTAATTAAGTGCTTTTATTCTCCCTGGAAAAACACAAGAGGCGACGTTGCTTTAGACCACATGCTCACAGGGACCGGCGAAATTGTGAAGGATTAATGAATATGAAATACAACACAGTTTTTTGAAATTGTTGTTTAAAACTAATTAGCTAAAAGTCATTTTTATAGCTTTTGAACAATTTTAATGATATTTTGGTGTCATTTTATTGCGGTTTTTGGTTTATTGGTCAAAATTTAAAGTGTCGTTTTGTCAATTAGAGCTTGGTGTGCTCTGGAATTTTATAAGATTTTTTTGTGTTTAAAACTGTAATTATTTCAGTCGCAAAGCAGTGACTAAATCTGACTTTACTCTCTTCCCCTGGATGGGGGTGAGTCAGCCCACCATCAAACAGCAGAGTGATATCGTCCATGCAGGGCCGCGCGAGTGCAACCTGCAGATTTATGCGTCTGCATGCAGAGGTCCCTCCTGGTCTGACAACAAATCTGTCGTTTGTCCTCCAGGACATCATAAATATTCATGAAGGCCCTACTATTACCGTTATTTGTTTTTGCTGCAACATGCAGAGAGCCATCTCACTCAAATGGGGGGCTGTTAGGAGAGAGAGGAAGATGGAAAGGTGCCCACTGATTAAAAAGCGCAGCCTGCAATCGAAACACGAGGCACAGAACGGCCGCGATAAGCGGCAAGTAACTGGGAGAGATGTGATGTGGAAACAGGGTTTGTATCGATTCTTTCCCTGGATTTCCTCAACACTCTGAAAAGTGTGTGTTGGGGGGGTACTGTCGCATTGTAGCGGCCTCAGGGGAGACCGAGGCAGGTATCCATACAGAGACACACTCTAGCTGCAAAACCCCATCGCAGGGGGAGAAAGAGCAAGACAATAGTAAAGGCCATGGGACAGGCGGAGATGGGAACGCCAAAAAATGCAGACATTGAAAAAGACGCCCGTCTTTCTCTGACATTTCCTCCCAGTGTGTAGAGTGACTGGAAGGATGCCTTTGGGAAGCGGAATACCCTAACCGCTATCATGGTGGATCACCTCCCAGCACATTCCACCATAATTACACAGATATTCCACTATTACCATATTTAAATAGGCAGGTAATGAGCAAACTGTAAACATCGTGACAAATCTTCTACGCCTCACGGTCTTGTCTGTCCTGATGGCAGAAATACACAAAAAAAACCACGTCTGATCCAGCATCCAGGCCGACAGGCCAGCATGAGCAGGGTGACATAAAGGCAGCATGCTTTAGTTACGGATCCAATGAATAAACGCAGCTTAAAATTTATTAACTTGGCTTTAATAAACAACGAGATCATACTACTGTATGCTGTCATTCTGAAGGCAGCCGAGACCCCGAGGCCGTAGTTTAACGTGGGCTGTGGATGCCGCCTACAACTGTGCATCTGAATATTTACCGCTTAGAGCAGGAGACACAGGAAAGAGCGCGTGCCCGCAGGACAAACATCTCAGTCTATGCGGGAGGAGATAAAGTGGACAGACTGCGGGGCCACTGTGCTATCACAGACTGTGTTTAGAAAACGATGGCTTCAGACTCATATCAAACGTCCCCAGACGATACACAGCGTCCATTATTAAAACATTCAATTTCAGCTAATTTAATAAAAAGCATCTTTATAACGCTATTGGGGAGGTCTTGTAATTGTATAGGCCTTCATAATTGGAAATAATGCGATATGACAAAAACGCCTAAGGTTTTTCGATGACTGTTTCAACTGCCTTGAAATTACTCTGTGAGATTTTCATATATTCAGGACTAATTGTTCCAACAACAAACGGAAAAATAATCAAATAAAAGGATTTTTATTCCAATCAAGGAGAAAACGTGCGAGCGCTGGCCAGCTTACATGACGACGCAGGTGTGGGGACTAAAACGCATGAAGGAGAAGCGAGTTTGGCGCTTGTTACTAGGCTTCAGCAACGTGCAGTGACAACGACCGTCGATCAAGGTCTGCGTGGGATCAACAGATGCGAAGCGCGTGCACATCGGCTTTCAAATCCCAAACTAACTGTTCATTTGGAAAAATAAAACATAAAGTCAATAAATAAAAAAAAGAAAATATTAAACAAAAAGTAGTCCTGCATATTACGTTTAAATAACTATATCATAAGTACTTTTTGAATTGGATAGTGTACAATCCAGTCAAGTTAATCCTATGTATGAGATTCGGAGTTTTCGGGCCGCGCTCTGCCAGCTGCCGAAGAATGAGTATTGCAGGGGGATCGCCACTGTACATGAACAAGCACCTGCCAACTCACCGCCGCCCTTCCCCTCCGGGGAGCGGCTGTAAGCTTCACTCAGGCGTGCTTTGCTCGGTTCCAGGTCCGGCCCCTGGTGCAGAACTCACCCCGGCCATCCAGCTTTGCTTCTACCCGAGGAACCCTAAAGCATCGTTTAGTATCTGTGGCATGCAGAAGCAACCCAGGGTTGCTTGTTAAAATCTGTGGATGTGAAGATAGAGATGAGCGCCACGGGCAGGTGGAAACAAACAGGGACACAAAGCAGGTGTAATTAAAACCACACTCTTCTTACAAAAACAAGTAGTAGTTTGCAAATGTATAGTTTCCAGACATGCAGCGTTGAAAGGGCTTCCCTAAACTTTTCAAAACGGACTTATATGTTTAGTTTCTCATTTAGTGTCATACGTGCTTCATGCTTCTAATAGCCCCGTAGATTGTCACCTATCACCGCAGAAAAGACACGGGAACAAGTAACGCGGACAATGAATAACGTGGAACAATATGGCAATAAACAGTGTACACCAATAGTCAGCAGCCTGGGGTACAGTGTGCTTGTATTTTATATGTATATTTTTATGTTTAATTAAAATGCTTGCAGATAGAAACTCTGAACCTTGTAGTATGAGTGCAGGTGTTTCTGTGCCGTCTACCAGAGGGAACTGGGGGGGAAATGGACTGCTTGATGTTGTTACCTACATTTCTGATACGTTTATATTAAGGTAATAATTAAGATGAAGTCGAAGTTTATTCCATGTCTATAAAATCGCTGACAGACGCCCCCACGGTCCTCCCGCACGAGACGGCGTAATGGGGACTATCGTAGGTGTCTGGCGTCAGTATGGAGCATGACATCAGGATCGACAACCTTTATAAACGCACTGCCGGGATCAACATCAAGTAACATGTGAGCTGCAGCGTGCCTGCGCCGCACAGTTCGGCACATCGCCTACTTAGGTGCCTTCACACCGCCTATAGTTTTATTTACGTATTTTTTAGCAAAGTATATTCAGGCAGAACTTAAAAATTGCCAAATGCCTTGTAAGCAGACATCTGTGTATTAAACAGGCAGTAGTAGGCTATATTATCAGAACACATGTAGGCTACCAACCAACATGAATAACTCCTTCTCAAGCGACGGCACCAATTTCTCCGCTTTTTTCTTCTTCTCGGGCAACAGGAGCGAGTCTCTGCCCCTCCGGCTTAAGTCCGGCGCGGTGGCCACCTCCGCCACAATGTTCGCGGTGGGCGTCCTCGGTAACCTCATCGCCATAGTCGTCCTGTGCATCTCCAAGAAAGAGCAGAAGGAGACCACTTTTTACATGCTGGTGTGCGGGATGGCGGTGACCGACCTCCTGGGCACCTGCTTCACCAGCCCGGTGGTCATCGTCACCTACGTGACCAACAGGTGGCCCGGAGGGGAGCTTCTCTGCCACTTTTTCTCCTTTTCCATGCTTTTCTTCGGATCCGCTGGCATGTCCATCCTGTGCGCCATGGCGGTGGAGCGCTACCTGGCCATAAACCACGCGTACTTCTACTCGCAGTACGTGGACAGGACAATGGCGAGGCTCGCTCTCACAGCCACCTATTTAGCCAACGTCGTGTTGTGCATCATGCCCAGCTTTGGATTCGGCAGGCACGTCAAACATTTCCCCGGCACTTGGTGTTTCTTGGACTGGAGGGCGATGAACCCCCTGGCAGCCGCTTACTCGTTTCTTTACGGCGGGGTCATGCTGGTCCTTATTGCTGTGACTGTGCTCTGCAATTTCGCGGTCTGCATATCCCTGGTGGGAATGAGCCAGAGGACCCGGGTAGTGAGAGCTGAGGTCTGCGAGCAGGACGGCTCCAGGCGCAGGTTTCCAAAGCTGACCTCCGTGACGTCGGCCGCGGAGATCCAGATGTTCTGGCTGCTGATCTTCATGACTGTTGTATTTCTGGTCTGCTCCATTCCCTTAGTGGTAAGTACATCGTGATATAGTTAAATACGCAACTCCTTTTGTGTACGTGTTGTGCAAGGGTTTGGGAAGCAGGAATAGCTGTCGAGCATAATTTCAAAACTGATATACGTAAAATATTTACATTCAACAGGTGCGGATCTTTGTAAACCAACTGCATGGCCCAGCTCGGATATCAGCAGGAGAAAAGCCGGATTTCCACAGCGATCTCCTAGCAATACGATTCGCGTCCTTCAACCCCATCTTGGATCCATGGGTTTACATCTTGTGTAGAAAGAATCTGTTTGTCAAAGGCTGCGAAAGACTGAAGCGGGCGTCTGGGATTGTGCGCGCAGATCGCAGCCGTAATTTAGGATGGACAAGTGGGCAGAACACGCTCCCGTCGTGCGCTGACAGCAATCCCACCAGCTGCGCTTCTCTGCGCACTGGGAACTTCAGACGAGACTCAGGAAATCAGACCATCATCAGGACCAAGTCGTTCACCGATTTTACTGTGCACCAGTCCTGGGATTACGATTCGGCGCGGCCGAGTTTTCATCCCTTTAGCGTGGAGTAGGATGCCAAAGCGAGATTGGACTACGATTCCACTGATCCGACCCAGATCGGCAGAGGATGAAGCCGTTTCACGCCCGGGTTTACAGGAAGCACCCGTGTGTCTCTGGGCGCGCAAAACCCGCCGGAGTGCCGGGCGCGCGCTCGGGACGCACGGTGTGCACTGTCGCGTGCAGCTTCAGCACGGCGGCGTCGCGCACGTCTGAGAAGTGCCTTTATTTAAGCACCGTGCATGGAACGTGAACTGCGCTCTTTGGCGAGTGAGAGAAATTATGCGAGTCCCGCATCGATAATGTGATGTGCTTAGTCGAAGAACTGTAGTTAAATTCATATATATTTCAAATAGTTTTTTTACGCAATCGACGGTGCTTAAATATCTATTTAAACGCGCAAATGAAATGTTTGAGATATATTTTTGTCAAAACAACTAAATGTTTTACAGTAGGATTACTTGCTACCGCTACTGTGTGCAACGCTTTGTTCAAAACGCTTAAAGTGTGTTAATGATTATTAATACACAAGAACAGGGACACACAAGGTAACCCTTCAAATGCTGCTGCAAAATACAGAGACACAGTTATGCTGCTATCTGAAAGTAAGTGGTGCCATGGGGAGCAGATCTCCTGTGAAATTAGCGCTTACTTCGGCTACATGGTGGCGCTTTCTGTACGACCTGGAAAGTTACCCTCGCGGGTGCACGTTTTATTAGTATTCACATGAAATCCGTCCGTGGCGTATCTTTTAAAGGGGAAGAATTGCATTGTGCAGCTTTACCTGAGACTGGCTGTTTTCAGCGGCAGCTTTGCATTGGGGAGAATCACCTTCGGCGCCCGCAGGTGATGTTCCCTTTGTCAGGATAGGCTAAATGTACGTTTTCGTTTTAAACTGCATTTTGTGGCATCTGTCTTGTTTTGCATTTTCAGTAATAAAGTCGTTCATACTAACCAAGAAGGACAAATGTCTCAGTTTACTTCGGACTGGTTTTTAGTGGAGCCTGAGAAGATGCACTTTGTGTTTAGGGGCAGCTCCGCTTCGCCCTGCGTCCTGTCACTGATAGAGGGTGACCGCACTCTAAGTGGAGTTACTTAATCTTGCTTTAGCCTGTTTTTGCCTTGTGCCTGGTCGTGCTTGAATGTAAATATAACTGTGAACTAATACAATGTTACGATTAATGTCGTCTTCTTCATAACGTGACGCATGCGTCTTAAACGTATTTATGTCCGTGTATTTTTTCTCGCACTAAAATGTTTCTTTTTCGAGACCTGTATGCTAATGCCACGGAGCCTGTGCCATATTTAGCAATGTCTCTTAAATTATGTTCATGGTTATTTAAATGGTTGACTGTCTAGGCTAACTATGCAGTCTTTTCCTGCTGATTATTTTCTGGATAAAATGAACGAGAGCTTTTCAATCTGAGCACCTTGAGTCTTTTGGGTGGAAATTAGGAGACAGTTGAGAAAACGATGCTCTTCTCAGGGGAAATCATTTCAGTGTTGGTATACGGAAATCAATCAAAAAGTCAATAATATCTTTTTTTACACGCAAAGCGTCCTTGACCCACTGGTCACTACTCACACTGGACTCACGTAGGCTATTGATTATTTCAGTACACAGTACAAGTCCAAATCGCAAATTGGATGGATTGCAGTCCATGACTTAAGGGTTTCAAAGGCGTAACGTTTAACATTTACGCATCAAATACATGGTTTCCGAGGTAAATCGTTCACAAATTGCTCACATTTTGAAATACATTTAAATCACCAACAATTTGAATCCATTTTAATTTACATTGAATAAATCGACATATATAGATTACGTTTATACCGGTTGCCTTCGGTTTTAACGTGTATTATGTAAATGATATATTCGACATTTGATTCAGTACCAGTTATTAATGCTTCCACTCAACAGCTGCCATTTGCAAAAACTCAAATTACCCACGAAGCAAAGCCAACGTGAAAAGATATTTCACACAAGGGAATAGGAGTTCAATTAATGCACCATGTTAACACTGCCGACAGAGGTCGCTACCACACAAATTTAAGAGTCAGAAACACCTGCGTGTCTACGTGTGTTTGTATGTGTCCTAACAGCCGGGAGGGGGGTCTCATCAACGCCAACTTTTAGACGGAAGTCTTTATGATTCATGTAACTCTATCGGAGTTATCATGGGACCCTTCTATCACCGAAATGGGCCATGAACACATGACTTGAATGAGGAAGCGTGTGAAATGGAGACGGCTCCTCTCTGGCCATTACCTTCAGAGTCCCTGCCATCTGAGGGGGATCCAGAGGCTGCAGCTCGGAGGGCCACATTCTGAGTTTCCTGCGGGGGAGGGGGTCGGCACCTCTTTCCACCGTCCACCACATGGCTCACAAACACGCCAGAGATCAGAATCAGAATACTTCATTAATCCCACGCGGTGGTGGCTGAGTGTCACAGTGGTGGCCCTGATGGGGACGATACTGCACTCACAGAAACAGGTCAGCGTGGATACGTAGGGTAACGCACTCCTGTAAACTGCCTGGGGGGGGGCTTTCCTGGGTCCAGAATGTAGATTCTGTGACCTATGACGGGAGAGGCGGACTGAGGTCGCAAATGTGGGGCTGCTTTATGAAATCCAGCCTACGATGTGCTTCCCCGGACCGGCACCTCGCACATCTGTTCCCAATGCTGTAATTATGCCCTTCTCGGAGCGTCTGGGTAATGTACGTCTGACTGTGAAGTGGCGGAATGTGGCCAGCGAGTCGATGGACGTTACACACTGGAGACAGTCGCGCATTAACAGGAATTAAAAACGCCACAGGGCCCAGGAAGACTGTGGCTTTAAGCCTCTTAAGTAACAGACATTTAGGAATGTAACTGGCCTCTGACTTCAATGAATGAATTAAACATCCAAGGAAAATTGGTGCCCATTAACTGGTACCTGATTGTCCAGGACTATGAGCCCTGGCTGTTTGCTTTGGCTGGCCTGCTCCCCGTTTTCTCCTACTAACTATTTCTCCATCGGCTGCATCTCTCGGTTGTTTGGTATTTTGAGGATCTGTGACACTGTCAAGGAGAGATCTTTCTCCCAGGAAGGAAATGCAAACTGCTTTAGTGAAGCGACTGTAAAACCAGCTGTCGCCCATCTAAGAGTCATTAGCTGGAGTTGATGGTGTTTCATGCTCCTTGCTAACGTGCTGAGTTTGGCTCGATGGCCTCCTACAATAATACACTTTTGGTTTTTGTTATTTACGAGAAAGTGCATTTGAGAGACTGCAGGAGAACATGCAGAAGTTCATGTAATTTTCCTGCTTCTCAGAGCTGTCTTTGGGGCTCCCACACGGCAGCTGTGGACTTTCCGGCTCGGCTTCCTGGCCACTGGCTGGATCTGCTGGTGCCGTTTCAGGCATACCAGCGGAGAGCGAGCGCCCAATCGGGTAGCGACAGCACGGGATGCAGCCGCCAATGACTCAAGCGCTTCTGATTCATGTGGGGTCTCTGATGTAAGTAGCCTCCAGGAAAAGCCTTAACCCAAACCACCCCGCTGTGTCTGATACTGACCAGGTGTGCCTTCTCAAACACCCACCTCTGTCTGCGGGTTTTGGGGGAGGTGGGAAGGAACCATGAGGCACCATGGCACGCCTGCCGTGTCGTTTGTACCGAGCTGCTCTCCTTCAGGTCCTGATTTGCCGATGTGGTGATGGCTCGGTCTGGTGGTTGGTTCCTGGCGTGGGATGCGGTACGGTGGAGATTTTGGGAGTACCAGAGAGGGAAAGTCCCCAGAAAAGCAACAGAACATGATGCTGACATAGTGGCGCCCCTGTGCCCTTCAGCATGTAAAAATCAAGCCAAGAGCAGCAGGTAAGAGCTGGGGGGTCCAAGGTGCAGGAAGTTAGCAGTATGATGTCATGGGATGTAATATTAAGGGGCCGTGAAAGAAAAACTAATATAGGCAGGACACCTTATAGCAAAAGAGACATGAGCCAAAAATATAGCAGTGATACGTACTACAGAACACAAATAAATGAAAAGATCAGATATATTTTCGGTGCATGTCGGCTTCTTGCACTAGCACTTCCATAAACTCTCTGGGATATTTTTTGCATGAGTCTGGATTTACGTGAAACGGTCTTGTATAAACACAGAGCTGCATGTCCAGTCCGGAGAGGGAGGTGACGCTGCGACGACGAGGCTGCGGCTCCTGCTACCGAGCGCCGGTCTGTGCCGCAGGCGTGGCGACATGCTCAGGGCTGAGCGGGACGTGCCTCAGACCTGCATGCGGGGGTGGGGGTGTTTCCGAGCCACCTGCCCCCAACATGCTGCCACTGTTGCAAAGGAAAGATCGAGATTGCAGTGGATTTGCCCAGCCTCAAAGGAGCAGACCTCCCCTCTGGGCTTCTGTAAACAGCGGGGGCACGGCCCCAGCCTACGGGTAAACAAAAGGCTTGCGCTGAAGGGAGCCCCTGACCTCCTTTGGCTGCCAGTGAGCATATTTCAGGTGCTTTATCTGCGAGCCGCAGCCAAAGAAAGCTATAATCAGCAGCCGATGGGCACGGGATAAGGAAACAAAACGCACTTGTGCGGGAGCTTACAGAGACGTGCGAGGCCAAGTGTCTCCCATGGCCTGGGGGGGCGGCACTCGTGAAAGCTCCCTCATGTGACCCCGGCACCTCACGGGGTGGCCCATCCGCCCCCCTGACCCACGTCGCCATCGGTTACGCAACAGCATTGGGTCGGATTGGGTCAGATGCCCGAGTCGCACGTTTCACCCCCATCAGCAAATAAGCACAACCAGAATCTTTATTCAAAACTTTATTCCAACAGAGGAAACGGCATTGTACAAAAATAGAAGGGACTTTTTATAGACGTAGATAATCATAACATCAATTAAAATAACGACCATAATAATAATAATGAATCCTTTACTGAGTAACAAAGTTCATTTTGCACTTGTGTTGAAATACTGAATAAAAAACAAATGTGTCGTTTCAGTTGTGGTAGATCACCTCCCTGTGACCAGGAAGGTGTGGAGAGCGCCACCTGTAGGGGGAACGCAGCCCACGGCGACCCTCCCGCCCACAGCGGCGTTCCTGCCCGCGGCCTTCAGGCCCTCTCTGTCCTTTCCTTCTTTACCTTAATGCCATCAGTGTATCATCAGAGGCTCTGTCTGTTTTCTTTATAAAACTGACATTTACAAAAAAAGAGATTAACCAAAAGATACATGGCCACTTTATAATAAATAAAAATATGGTATATGTGAAACAAATCTCATACAAAACTGTAATAAATAAATAACTTACATGAAATAAATATGCTGTCTGTAGAACAAATATGCAAGAAGATGCATAGCATCTATCCATGGAGTTCAGTTGTGCTTAAAGACCAAGGACAAGCTTAGACACTCTCGGCACGTTCCCACCACGTTCCCGCCACATTCTCACCACGTTCCCATCACATTCTCACCACGTTCCCGCCACGTTCCCACCACATTCTCACCACGTTCCCACCACGTTCCCACCACATTCTCACCACGTTCCCACCACGTTCCC